GTGAAATAATTTTTTTTTTTCGAGAAAGAGAGAGAGAGAGAGAGAGAGAGAGAGAGAAAGATCGGTATCTCACCTTGTTGCGCTGATACTTAATTAGATCGTGCTTCTTTCTTAACCGTACATTGTCCTCCTGCACCCTGGCGATTGTCTCATCTAAATTGCGTTTTTTCCCATAGGCAGAAGACTCGCTCCCCGTGCGAACTCTCGCCTCCGATTTTCCCTCATTCTGAAATGAATAAGAGGGAGGAAGGTTGGAGGGAACGTTAAAGAAGAAATTTTCACGCCGGACGATATTTCGAAATTTCGCGATTTTCATCCGCGATTTTCAACTTCGATCATCACATTTAATAATTACGTTCTGCGTGTTTGCGTACTCCACGTACAGTTCTTTGATGCTTTGCTTGAGAGTCGTAATTTTCTCCGCATATTCATGCTTCTTAGCTTCGTATTCTTCGAAATTCGCTTTCCTTTGTCCCTCTGTGAACATAAGGCACACGCTTGATTATTAACACATCTTGTATCGTATACGATGCCCGATAATATCTATTCCTCGTCGAGAAACGCTTATGAGCAAAATGTTTGTACCTATTTCTTACGTTTCTTTTAGTGTGTTTTATGTAGCCGAGGAATGTTGTTTTAAACGAGATGCAATTTTACTTGTCAATATCGTATGAATAGCGTTTAGTGAATTTTTACCCCGTCGAAACGTTATTTTGCTCCGTTGAAAAATATGTTTTATATCGCCTGGAAATCTAATCGATTTTTTTTTTTCTTCTTCGAAATATATATATATATATATATATGTGTGTATATAGATAAAGAGAACGGAGAAATAATTAAGCTATAAAAGGAGATAAAACGGTTTCTATAATAATAGCCGAAGGATAGATGGAAGAAACGCGAGTCGTGACTGAACTGATGATTGCGATGGATCGAGTCATGATCAAGATTATTTTGCATGTACATCTTAAGCAAACTAAATTGCCCAAATTGCTTAAATCGACGTCACGATTTCCCGCAAAAGTGACTTTGTTTAAGGAAACTTGCCATCAGTTGCTCATATTGTCCTTTCGAGTGACAAGGAATGTAGGATACGATAATCATAGTATCGTTTCTTCTACGATCAATATCAATAAAAAAACGCGATCCTTATTTATTTTACAGATACAGTTACTTTTAAACAATCTTCGTTGATCGATTCGATTCTTTGATTATACAATTTTTATTTTTTAACGCAATGTAAACTAATTTTATCGTATACAATATAATATAATATAATTAGAGTTGAATGTTCAAATTACGAACGAATCAACGAGATTATTTATTTGATTTATGCAACATGTATTAATAATAATTCTCGAATTCATCACGATTCTAAATAAAAAATAAAATAAAGAAGATACCGTATTTCAAATGTTCGAATTCTTCAACCGATACGATACCGGTTTTAATAGAAACGGTTTGTGTAGAATATTCGCCTTATAATTAACATTTTGATATAAGTACATCGATAAACCGATGGAAATTTTGTTTTTTCTCTCCGCGAAGAAGGCATGTGACAAGAACGTTTCTTTCTGAACTTCTAGTCTTTCCGGTTAAACGTGTTCTTATGTATCTCCGTATGCAATCAGGAACTGGCTTGGGAAATAAACGCTAACGAATTGTTTTCTTTTTCTAGAGAGAACGGCACTACGCGAACAACATCGTGGCAAATATGTGAATATTAAACGAGATCAAGCGAACAAGATTATAATTTTTAGATATTTTTCACAATTTTTCACGATTTTCTTTCCGTTAGAGAAGAAATGGGTTTACCTGATAATTGGATCTTTTTCTTGATTTCCACGATTTTCTTATTCAAATCGTTTAATTTATTGTCCATGGTTGGTTCTAACGGATCGGACATGATTCCAGGCGAGAACTTGCAAAGCAATCTGCTTATTTTATCGACTCAATAGTACTTGGCGTTGTCCTGGCAACAGCATAGCGAGGAACTCAGTTCCTGGTGTCATGCGTAAACGTGTAATTTATGATAAATACCATGCATATTATTTTCATAAGCCTTTAAAATATGCGTTTTAATTTTTATCGTCATGCTTAATTAAGAATACCTAATAGACACGCATAAGTAGATGCTAGCTGGAGTAAAACTAGCTGGCGATAACTTTACATCGATATCGAATCCGTTTCGAAGAAATTAAATTTTTAATTTTTATTAACGAATAAACTTAAAAAGTTAATTGATAAAAATTGTCGGTTCGAGCCGAGTGTCATTTTCGAACACTCGGCGAAAAC